TTTTTTTTTGGTTTCCCGCCTGGTATCGAGGTTTCGCCTCGACTAATTTGGACCCGACCTGCGTCGCGCACTTGGAAATGGTGGATGAGTCTCCCAGCGAGGGCTGCTGCGTACACAAGGACTCGAACTCGAGATCTTGCTTAAACTAAAATAAACCGCTTACCACTTGATCCAACCCTTCGTTATTTTCTATGAAACATCGAGAGACAAGAAATCGGCGAAGAAGAGAAAGCGAAATTCTGTTGAGTGATGGGCCGGCAACCGACTAGGCCCACTCCCCACCATATATGATCCAGATTCACGCGGTTTCCAGTTGAAGATCGTGCGGCCATTTTTTTTCTTTTTCCAAGTCAAGCAACCGTTGGATGCTACCACGTTTCATTTGTTGACCGAGTCCTGACTAATAAGATTTGAGTCTTTGCCATTCTTGGAGGGGTAGTCAGCATCACGGGTTTTGCACGTGACTTTCATAGCTTTGAAATTTTGAGATGCTGCTCGGGGGGACAATTATTTATGGAATTTTCTAACTCGTGAGCTGTAATCGTGTATTTATCACATGTTTATTATTATTATTATTATTCTTATTTTAATTATATAATGAGAGACAATCATTTTTCATCACTTATCTCATCTTATTCACATATTATGTAATTTGAATTCAAATTTTCATATTTTTAATAAAAAAATGATTACTAAATTACTTAATCGTTGGTTACCACATGTTTATTATTAACATATAAAAAAATAAAAATTAACATAAATTTTATTAATCAGTTTAATTAAAGTATTTTACATATTATTAAAATTAAAAATAAAATTTATTCTCATAAATTTTTTTAGGAGAATTCCTTTATAGTGGTTACATTCCACTTTTTTTATTTAATTGGTTGGAGATTGTAAATTTTATTTTAATTTAATAAAGGAGCTCTTATATAATTAATTATAAGTATATTCAAAATTTAGTTGTTTAAGATAATCATTTTGTTAATTGGCTCGTTTGTCCTTCTTCGTTGATTAGCCCTTTTCTTCAATTTCGTTTCCAGAAACCATTCTTGTAAACAGTAGCAAAAAATTGATTTTTTTTGTGCATTCATCACGTTTCAAGCATGAAAAAAGAAACATTAATTGATAATCTAATCAATGATTAACAGAAAAAAAAAAATGGTCGACGCTATTTTTCTAAATAGATTACCGACATCCACGAATAAATATCAGACAAAAAAAAAAAAAAGAAACAAAAGTATAAATATTTCCAACTCATAATTAAATCAGCACCACACAAAACAAAAGCATAATAAAATATATCTTTATCTGAATCCATCTCAATAGAATATAAGGAAAAAAAAAAAAATAAAACGATGCTAAGATAAGTGAGATGGTAGAAATACTTAGATTTGCTTACAAACGTTAAAATAGAGTTTCTGTGAATTTGATTAATTGAGAATTTAAGTGTAAATATATATTTTTTTATGAGGGATATTATAGACATTTTCAAAATGTTCTAATACTTTTTTTTTTTTTGAGAAAATGTTCTAATACACTTTTAATAAATTTAGTTTGTACTTTTTCATTCAGATGAAATGCAAAGATAAGTTTTCACTTGATCTTAGAATGAAACTTTAACTAACCCACTTAAAAATAATTTTCTCATTTTTTATATAAATTAATAATAAATATAATAAATATATTTTTAACATGCACTCTTAAATTAAAAAACTCATCATTTATAAGTTTTTTAATTTTTACCCTTAAATCACAAGTTAATTTTTTTTACATTAATTGATATTAAAAAATAAAAATTAACATTTAATTAATTATTTATTTATTTAAAATAATTCACATAATAAAATTAATGCCAGTTTTTCCAATTTTTTATATATATTTTTTTCATTTATTGAAGATCATGTGGTCGTTTTCTTTTTCTAGTCAAGCAACCACTAGGATGCTCCCACGTTTCATTGGTTGACCAAATCAGGACTAATAACACGGGTTTATTGGAGAGGAAGGCAACATCACGGGTTTTTCATGTGACTTTGGTAGCTTTGAAATTTTGGGATGGTGCAATGAAATGATCAAGTAATCAATTATAAGCTTTTCAGTTTTTTTAATATCGTGCTTTTTAAGTTATATGTTAAAATGTTAATAATTTAAATAATTCAGTGATAATTTATTATTATTAAAAGTAAAATATTTTAATTTTAAATTATATAACATGTACATAAAGTGAAGTAAAGAATGAAAAAAGTTTTGCCTCTTATTGTATAACGGAAATAAGAAAAATAAATAGGTCACGTGTTAAGGTACTTTCATAAAATTAATTGGTATTAAAATAGTGTATTAATTATATTTTTAAAGATACAAATTAGAATAATTTATAAATTATTGAGAAAAATAAAAGTTAGGAAGTTTTAACATTTTTTTTGTATTAGTTGTATAATAAGAAGCAATTATTTTTCATATTTTACTCTACTCCACTTACATACCATGCGACTTAATTTAAAATTTTTTACTTTAAACAAAAGAAGATTATTATTGAATTACTTTTATCGTTAACGTCATTTAGACATTTTAAATGTTAAGATTTTCTATAAAATAATTTAAATATCTTTAATTAATTTTTTTTATATTAATTCATTAAAAAATATTTAAATAATTTCATATGAAATCTTAACATTTTTAAAATGTTTTGATTTACTGCAATCTTTTAACTATTTGTTGAAGTATTTGATACTAGTTGGAGGTTTGCGTTGAATTTGATTCCAAACGAGACTGAAGTTACAAACTTAATATGTGTGGAGATCATGGAGGGAAAATTGAACTCAAGTGATTGAAATGATGATTTAGTAGGTCAATGACCGAAGCTGCTACAACTTTTTAATCATGTGATTATCTCTACCTCTATTTTCAAATGCAACTACAAGTTAAAACTCAAAACTTGAAAAGACTTAGGTTCATGTCTGCAAAGAAATGGTAAAGATGAGCTAGCAGAGAATTAATGGGAGACAGGGATAGAGGAAATGCATTGTCCATAAGTCAAAAGGAGATTAAAAACTTTTGCTCTTTCTACATCATTCATTAATTTGAAGTGTCTCATTTCATGTGAGAACTAGCTAGGAAACAATGGACATTTGTGGTCATTTTCTTTGCAGTTGCTATGGGGTGAGATTTTTCCACAGATTTGGTGCCAAGTCAATTCTTTCACGACATTGCACATGCCACCCACGTAACTCTTCCCTTCTGCTACACTTTCTCGTGGGAAAGAAAGAAAACCATTTTTTTTTCCCACTTCAAATTGGGCGCATTTGATTAATTCCTTGGACCATCTCTATGTTCTTGTCAGGTTCAAGATGATAACTTTGAATAGGATAAACCAATATCTGGGGGGTACACTTCGTTGGAATATATATGTTGCACAAATGCGAGCAGCTTGCAATTGCACCAAAGTTTTCCAGTTTCTTCCTAAATATATTAGTCCACCTTCCCTTTAACTGCAACTCATGTTGCATTTCTGAGAATTTGACAGAAACTTTTAATTTTCCTTTCCTTTTCCGCATCATGAGTTCTTTTATACGTGCTATAATATGATATACAACATATTTAGATTAGCTCTCCCCTTTCTATAGTTAATTATCTCAAACATCAAATTTAAAACCTTAAATATAAAAACTCAATTTCTTCACTATTGAGTTCTATGTCCCTTCGGAGACTTCACATTATCATGATTTATTTATTGAGATTTTGTTAGTTCTAAAATAATAATTATTTTTAGACTTAAATTTATTTTCAATTATTTTTTATTTTTTATTTTTTATTTTTTAAAGTAAATAAATATTTTTTTTATTTTAACTCTATTATTATTCATTTATGTTAATTGATTATCTTAATACAAAAAATCTTATTTTATCTTTTAATTTTTTTAAGAGTAATATAAATAAATGTATAAATAATTTTTAAATTTTAATTTAAAGAAAAAAAAAAAACAATTATTATAATAAAAGCATGTAAAATTCTCTTCTCTTTTTTTAAAAATGTGTTTGCATTATAAATTGTAAAAATTTAAAATTATGTTACGTGTCAAATATTTTTAATGGATGGAAGTGATTTAACCATATCAAATATGCAATTCTGGATCCTATGACAGATCAAGTACCACATAGGAAAAAAATAGCCGAAAATATGAGATTTTATTTTTTGGTTGTTAATTTGAGTCACATTGGGATTGTTTCAGTTAGTTTTTAAAAGTTGGTTTCAGTTAAAAATGTGGGTTAGCTAATAATGGAACAAGTGGTGAAATCTAAATAGAAATCTGACTCAGTCAACCATTGAGATGTCTAACTTCTTCAGGAAATTGCCCATGTTCAAGTAATTGCATGGAGTAGGGAGTTGCAAGTAGGGAAGAGGAAAACAAAAGAAAAATTTTTTATCATCCAACACATGCCCTACATACAATTGACAAATTTTCAAACTTTTAATTTCTCTATCACTGTTTATTTTAGCTTCATTTCGGATTTCAACACAGTTCTCAATGGATTTAGGTTGTTTTTTTGTCATTCCAATAGTTAAATTAGTTCATGTATTTGCTTCAACATTTCCTTTCGTGTAATGAACATCAAGCTTTGAATTTTTATAAGATACTGCTCTTTTTCTAATTAGTATTAGTTTAATATTTATGATAAGTAACATTTTATCAAATAATTACTTATATGACATTCACGCTTCTTCTCACTTTTAAGCATGCTAGTTTAGTCTTTGTTCATATTTACTTTAGTGTTATTTAGTGTTGGATCTTTAATTTTGTAGTAGTTTAATTTCCAGATCTGTTTATAAATAGCAGTTTAATCTGACGATAAACATGCTTAATCTAATTTGGATACATTTAGTTCACTTAGGATTTGTTAATTTTGATTCACAGTAATGTTTAAGTCATTTGAGCTGTTCGAGAGAGATTTAGTAACTCATTCTATAGGAAAACATCATTTTCTCTTATAAATAATTTGTAAACGTAAATTTTAATTTTAAACCAACGTTCTTCCTGCTATCTACAAAGAGTTTGATCCTAAGGAAAGAGGAGATCGTTTCTTTCTTATTTTTAACGAAATAAGTGACACATTTGCATTTAGATTGTGTAGTCACTTGAGAATTTTTAAATAAACATAATGATAAAAAATATCATCTAGTCAGCATACTTTAAGATTAATATTTTTAAGATACTCTTGTATTAATTGGCCAGGGCGAATCAAGGGGGACACAAGTTATGAGCCGATAATGATAATTCAACTTTATCGGGCTGGGTTCATTTAAGAGCTGGAAGTCGGAACGGGATGCCCTTTCAAGTAGGCTAAATGCTCGATTGCATTCATCGCTACTTGGATAAGGTTTCACTTTCATTTCTATCTTCCCTCAGTCTCTGGTCCCCATATGATCCTAAAAAAGGCTCTAACGACCTCTGTGAGGGCTGCAGATCAGAGCTTGAACTTGCCTTCATTTTCCAGAAAATGGGGCAGCGTAAGTGATAAAATGAGTTAATTGAAGGATTTTTTTTTTTTAAGAGATAGATGCATATCAGTCCTAATTTTTTTAAAAATTAATGTTTTAATTTATATTTAAAA